TTAGGAGCTAGACATGTTTACTTCTGATCTATATTATCTATGTTTATAGAAATCTTTAATGTATGTTTATTTGTTGTCTTAGTTATACTTTAAAAACTTCAACCATTCATCATTCTTAATGTAATACTGTAATACCTAAACAAATATATTCAACTATTATATTCAAAATAATAGTTATAATTACTGACTTAGTAGAAGAAAACAAGAAGAAATAAGACCATTAAAGATCACAGATAACTGTCATTTAGTATATTTAATGAGTATCATGAAAAAAACTCAAAGAGATTAGATACAGCCTATTTCTGCAAGTTTATGAAACTTCTCTGTTCTATTGATAAATCTGTTACTGTTTTGCTAATTTTGTGTTTGTGTTTTCAGGTCTTGATGAATAAAATAAAGCTGACATAATTCATCTCAACATAGATTACATTCTCAGTATCTGAAATGTTTTTTATGTAGAAGAGTTGTAAAAATGGAAAGAGAGAAAGTAAATGATGATGGAAAACTAGACCCAGAGATTTCCTCGGACTTTTCCGAACACTTCAACCAACTTGAATTGTTGGAAACACATGGACACCTTATTCCCACTGGCACTCAAAGCCTGTGGGTAGGCAATTCTGATGAAGATGAAGAGGAACAATATGAAAAAAATGAAGAATGGTATCAATTGCAAGAAAAAAAAATGGAAAAAGATCCAAGCAAATTGCTTCTTTGGGCTGCTGAAAAAAATCGGGTAAAAAGAAAAAAAAAGACAAAACCATAATGTAATAGGAAAAGCAATGGCTGTGGAGCCAGAAGACCTGCTCCTAAAATAGATCTTTTCCACCTGTATCTTTGGGCAAATTCCAAACCTTTAGTTTCTTATCTGTTTAAATGGTTATATCTTTTATACAGAATTGTGAGAACCAAATGAAGCAACATAGAAGTACATGCTAGGTTACAAACTCTCAAGTATCTTTTGGGGATTTAAGCATAACTGTGGGCTGGGAATTTAGCTCAGTGGAACCACAACTGCCTTGCAAGTGCAAGGTCCTGAGTTCAATCCCTGGTCCAAAAAAAACTAACTGTGAAGATAGCAAGCAGACATTTATACTTTTAAATCATGTATATTGACTTAGTAGGATCATCCAGGTAAGTATAACTTAGGATATGTATGATGAAATATAACATTTATTACATACTAACTATACTAGGTGCTAGGAGCCTTACTGCATTGTTTTACTTAATCCTCAAGAATAGTTAATATTGATTTGCTCAGAATCATTCAAGTAGAATTAAGACCAGGGCCAGGGATTTAGCTCAGTGGTTCCACTGCCTGCCTCACAAGCGCAAGGTCCCAGAGTTCCATCCCTGGTACCAAAAAAAAAAAAAGAATTAAAACCACAAGTCTGTTCTTTCCATTTGGCTACTTTCACTTCATCTCCCATATCTGTTAATAAGCTATGCTAATAACTAAAAGGGTCTTGCATTTTTAATAGCATTTTGACCCAGAGCACTGTAGCCCAGGAGAGGTCCATAGAGCAAACTGAAAATTACTGCCTCATTTTATTCAGAAGCAACTGAGCTTTTTAATATATAGGTTTCCATGTCAACATTCTTCTGTTAAAAGCAATTTCAGATACTATGAATATTGGTACAGTAATCCTATAATCAGTTATATTTTCCTTACAGATAAAATATTAAATACAATTATAGCATATATATATATATGTGAGATATATTTATATTATTCATATAGGGCCAAAAGTTTTGTGCAGTGAGCTTCAGCTGAGCCAGGAGTAAATGTAGGTTTGATATTCAGAGAATCACATTCTTAGAAGCAACTGAATGTAAGTTACCACTAACTTGTTCATTACTAAATCAGTTACCCTACCCACCCAAAAAGTAATTTATTTTCATTTTAAAATCATCTCCTAACAAGTTTTTACTTACATATTAAGCCACTGGGAAATGGGATAGGAAAAAAGGAATTGAGATGTATTGTGAACATGTACCAGTTCCCCACAAGGAATGTAAACATTATATGCACTACAAATGTGCTAATGCAAAAATGAAAAAAAAAACAAACAAAAAACCCTACTGGACTTGTAAGTTCCTTTATTGTTTTGCTTTGAGAAGCGATTTTATAAGACCTCCTTTTTGCTTTTCAGCTTACTACAGTGCGGAGACTACTTTCTGAAAAGGCCACTCATGTGAACACCAGGGATGAAGATGAGTATACGCCCCTTCATCGAGCAGCCTACAGTGGACACTTCGACATTGTCCAGGAGCTAGTTGCACAGGGGGCAGATGTTCATGCAGTCACTGTGGATGGCTGGACGCCTCTGCACAGTGCTTGTAAGTGGAATAATACCAGAGTGGCTTCTTTCCTACTTCAGCATGATGCAGATATCAATGCCCAAACGAAAGGCCTCTTAACCCCCTTGCATCTTGCTGCTGGGAACAGAGACAGCAAAGATACTCTGGAACTCCTCCTAATGAACCGTTACATCAAACCAAGTCTGAAGAACAACTTGGAAGAAACTGCATTTGATATTGCCAGGAGGACAAGTATCTATCACTACCTCTTTGAAATCGTGGAAGGCTGTACAAATTCTTCACCTCAGTCTTAATGGTTCTAATAATTTTCTTACATTTCTAAGTACCAGTGCCTCCTTCATGTGAGATAGAAAATATTGCCATAATACAAAATTGACATCCAATGTCTTACTACGGAAACTCAGTGGTACTCATGTTTTTCAATCGAATTGCCTGACCTTGATGTCAAAATGTATTTGAGAGTTATTTGGATGTATCTTTAATGATTTTGGTGGAATTTGTGATTTTTATCAGAAGTAATTTTAACTTACCTACATTTAAAAACTTGACACGGGTAATACAGAAACTAAAGATATTTTTGGTGCTGATCCAAGAGAAATGTATTTTTAAATAACCCAAATCCTGGATCTTTGTTGAGTATTTAGTATATTGACATGTATTTTTTTAAGATGAGATAACTCATTTTAATTTAAAAGTCTTAAATACTGGTGCAGTTCAGCTGTCTTCTCTACATTATCATAGCCAATTGCTTTCCTTCCAAACCAGAAAAACTAACACATTAGTGACTTGAATTTTTATAAGTTAAAAAAAAGTAAAAAAACAAAACAAAAAAAGAACTTAGATCTAGAATGTAGACCATTTTCAGGAAAGCAGTTGTTTAATCTGTGAATGTTATATACTGCCTCCTTTACCACAATCACACGATTCTGTGAATAACCCTACCTCACGCTGGTCAATCTACATGATTCTTAGCTCCTATAGTGAATCAGTATGATCTTTTAGACATATACACAGCTATACTTTGGTCCAGGAGATTATGACATAATTTGTCTCCAACTAGTTCTTCCTGCCTAATCCTGCTGGCTTAGGCACTGCTCAAGTAATCTGTGGTGTTCACAGAAAATGTTTGATTTTCCAAGGTCTTCATTTTATATAAGCCGTTACAAAGGCAAAGTGACAAGGAATAAGGAACTCTTAAGACTGAAAGGATGATTATTTTATAGGGTCTAGAACCACTGAGTGGCTCAGCTTTCTTAAAAATCCCTAGAGTGGATAGTGACAAAAAGCATAAAAATAAATATTCAGGAAAAATAAAGTACAAGTTTTGACAATAAAAAAGTCATGAATCCTTTTCTTAACCTGTGTATAATTTTGTTAGAATATTTATTCAAACAGCATGCACTTAATACCTACTCTCTTAGTGTCTCCAGCAGTTTTCCATTGACTATTCAGCCCTCTGTGACTATTCCCTGAAGGTCTTAACTTCTCAATGCTGAAATTAGAATATATACAATGGAAAGAAAACTAAATGAGTCAATTGCTCTTTGCATCCCACCCACCCCACTTTGGGGATTCAACGCAAGGCCTTTGTGCTGAGCTGTATCTCCAACATTTTTATTTTTTATTTTGAGGCAAATTTCCTAGGTCTAGCCTTAGCTTGAACTTGTGATCCTTCATCAGCCTCCCAGGGTGGTGAGATTGAACTTGTATACCACCTTGTTAGTATATTTAAAGTGTTTTCTTAGTACATATTTTCAATAGATAGTGATTACATTTATTATGTACATAGCTCATCTTAATTCTTTTTTTATCCCTTTCCCCTCCCATTCCTCCCTTTTCCCTCTAACTTTTGTTCCCATTTCCATTTGAAAAAGCTATAGTGGTACTCTATTTCCTTTTTTTCTTTGATTCTCTTTTCAATTCCTCCTCCCTTTGTTGCCTTCCACCACCTTCATCTCATGTCCCTCTTCCCATTTATTTATCCTTTATTTTGTTCTATATATATTTTAAATCTCTACCTAAGTTTGTCTCAAGCCAATCCATATGACTCAATTACCTTAGACTAAAATCATTTGGTCAAATACATGTGGCAGTTGCTTGGTTAAGACAAAATCTGATCATCTCAGGAAATTTAAAAATAATAAATGAACTAAATCATTGTGATAATATCATTTTGTGACACGTGGTTAGAGAATGTGCCTCAGTTTCAGAGTACCAATATCTTTTACACAGGCTTTTGCAGAACATAAAAGGTTACTGTTTAATCTGGCCCGCACAAGTGATACCAAATGATAGGTACAGCTGAAAGTGATGGTAGATAAGACCCTGTCTATCCCAGTTATCTAAAGGTCACCAAGCCTCTGGCTGTATTCTTCACTGGGAATAGGTTACATCCATTTTTATATAGTTTCCATTTAAGTATGGGGCCTGCCTTAGACACATTCTCATCGCTGGGTGTGGTGCTAGACACCCACAACTTAAAGGGGGAGAGGTTCATTTTGGCTCACAGTTTTAGTCCATGGTTGGCCAGCTCCGAGGAAGAAAGGCATGGTGGAAGGAACTGGCAGAGGAAAGCTGTTCTCATGGCAGCCAGGAAGTGGACAGCAAGTGGGAGTGAGGGGTGGTGGAGAGGGATACACAGCCTTGCAGGTCACGCCTCCACCCACCCACTTCTGGGTGGACCCAACTCCCTAACATCATATGTAGTACAGCACTCCTGTGAGTCAGTCATCTTTCAAAAGCCTCATCTGTAAGCTAAACATCTAGCTATAAATCAATAGTGCCAACGAAGCCTCCTTGTTTCTGATTGGGAGTTGACATTTGTCTGACCACTCTTGTTTTCAGGCCTCAATGTAGGAGCAAACTGCATATAAATAAGTCCCTCCAAGTTTCTAATAAAATATGTAGCATAAATATTGTTTGCATTCTTTATACTTTCATCAGTATTTACTGGACTCCTTTGTCCATGGAAGGCATTCACAAATGGTGCTTCTGATATACTAGTACTTTTCAGTTTATGCAGTCTAGCTAAATATCTTAGCTTGCAAATAAAATTTTCTCTAATAGTGGGAAGTTTATCCAAAGACTTTTTAAAAATCTTTTTTAAATTTTGAATTACTTCTATGCTTGAGGAAAAGATTGACTTTTGTTATTATTGAAACCATGAAAACAAATTATATTGGTAAACATAATTCACAGGCTTACAGTCAAATTAGTTGGGTTTGCTTTTCTAAATCTCAAATATATTTCACCAGGGAGACTTCCGGCCCATAACCTACCATACTGATGGGACATAGAGTCTTTGCAATAGAGATGTGAGGACATTGATGTGTTGCTATGTGTTGCCATCTATTATGACACCTATAACTATTGTTAGATCACACTCGAGAAACCCTGACACTGTCCCGAGACATACCCCACACCAGAATGAAATCTCTGGATCAACTCTCTTCCTGATTAATGCATATACCATCTTTACCCTACCTGATTCAGGTAGAAATTTATGGAACTGCCTAAAAAAATTCTGATTATTAAATCATCCACCATGCCTTGATATAATTAGTTTATCATGGGAGGCTCTAATTCTGTAGGATTACTAGATGGCCATAAACTTTATAATATAAAATGCTTTCTCTAAATGGAAATTAAGATCTTTGTTTATTAAGTCAAGATAGTAAGATTGAATGTAGGCTGACAATATTTTTAATGCCTTGATATTTCCCTTAGGAGCTCCAAAATAAGTAGGAATTATCTAAATCAGTATCAAATGAAAACAATATGAGCCACATATGTAATTTTAAAGGTGTTCTTTAGTAGCCACATTAAACAAAAATAGTTGAAAATTATGTTAGAAGGATATGATTACAAAAAAAAAAAACATGTATAAACTGGGCTGCACATACCTATAATCCCAGCACTCAGGAGACTGAGGTAGGAGGATCACTGAGTTTGAGACCAGCCTGGGCTTCATAGTGAGTTCTAGCTCAGTATCAACTACATAGTGAGACCCTATCTCAAAAACAAAAAACAAAACAAAAAAAAAGGAGTGGGGGATATGATATGTCAGTGTGTCCAAAATACTCGTTTCAACATGAGATACTAGTAAGCCTTGAGTCTAGATATCCCCCCCAAAGTTCATGGGGTCCTAGGTGGAGCTTTTCAGCAATGGCTGGATCTAGAGTGTGGGATGCTGGGATTAAGGATGTGATGCTAGGATTGATTCACCGTACAGGGTTAAGATTAAGGGTTAGTAGACTGGAGAGAATATAAGGGACAGAAAAAGGGTTGCTGTTGTCACTGCTTGTCCCTTGCTGTGTTCTGCTGCCATGAACTGTTTCTCTGCTGTGCCACTTGGAGCCAGTTGATTATGGACTGAAAGTGCTACAAATAAATTGTGAGCTGAAGTAAACCTTTCCTCCAAAAGAAGAAAAAACTCGAAGACTAAGCAAAATAATTTGGACCATAAGGAAATGAGATTCTAGCAGAAAATGTATTCCTAGAGTGCATCCAAGGCCTTTGCTCGTTCTTTGCAGATCTTCCTGATACCTATTAAAAATGAGTTTTTCAACACTCATAACTCTTTTTTTCCTTGTTTTGAGGTGAATTCTTTAAGATAATACTGAATACAAATATTCATTTTTGTATCATTATTTTATTCATTCAAAACTCAGGTACATCCAATAGTCTTCACTATGAATTTAATGACATGGCCACATACTCCAGTGTCTTACACTGTAGCAAGATGTCTAAGGCAGAAAACCAGTTTTATGAAAGAAACAGCTTATATAATTGAAAAGTTTTCTTTTTTCTTATTGTATTCCACATCTCCACTAGTATTTAAGAATTAGGAAAACACTGGAGAATTACTTTGAGTTCAGAAAGTCACTGTTTCCTAAGCTGTCACTAGCCTTCACACACAGCTACATTAACCAGAGGCAATTTTCAATAATCTAAAGGAGAGAGAGAAGAAAGAGTGAGACAGTGATCCTGACATCATGAGAAACATCACAGTCACATTCAAAACCCTAATTTAATAACTCGTGAATAGAGTATATACTGATTGCACAGACTAAGAAAATGTATACTGATTACAGAGATTTCTATATCTAAGATGTAGCTTTACTGGGAGAAGCATATAAAGACCTGAAATAAGAATCAGACACTTGAGGTCATGTACCTAAAACAAAACAAACAAAAAAATAGGAGGCAGATTTCCTTTTACATGGCTTTGCATATTTCTTAATTGAAATTTGAAGATCTGCAAACCTTATAAGGAAGGAAAAGGTATTAGAGTCCTTTCATCCCTTCTTTTGCTTGTAAGCTCACCCTTGCATGATAAGGTGATTTGGAGTCCATCTAGAAAGTTAACTGTGGTCCATTTCTCAGCCTCCATGTTACTGACATTTGAAGCCAATAATTTTTCCTAAGTGTGTGCGTGTTTTGTGTGTGTGTGTGTGTGTGTATGTGTGTGGTGGTACTGGGGGACTTCCTGTGCCCTGTAAAATGTTTAGCAACATCCCTGGTTGTCCTGAACTCATTAGATGCCACTGGCACCTTCCAGCCCCTTGCCCTTGGTTGTGACTATGAGAAAACATCTCCAACACAGACATTGACAAAGTCCTTGGCTAAATGTCATTAAAAATATCTAAAGCAAGAGATTTTGTAATTTGACCAGCCTCATGATTCTTTTTATTAGCATACAAGTAAATATTAAATTAAGATGTGTTGTCCTTAGATTTTGTTAGATATTTCAAATATTCACCAGTATACATTCAAAAATTAGGTAATTATTGATTGTACTGTACATATTTAATATTTTACTAATGAGATTATTTAAACATCCAAATATTGGACTGAAACATGTAATGAGGAAAATGGAGTTCTACAGTATTGAAAGTTTCCAACTAATAGTTTTGACCTCTAGAAATTTACTCCTTAGATTAAATGAGTTTGTCTGTTTGTTTATTTATTTATTTATTTTTGGTACCGGGGATCAAACTTAGGACCTTGCACTTGTGAGGCAGGCGGTGGCAACCCTGAGCTAAATCCCCGCCCAGATGTGTTGATGTTTTTTAAAAATAATTTTTTGTGTATCAACAGAGATGATAGCCACATTCTAATTTTTTAATCGTGTGCCATTACAAATGTAAATTTTTTGCTGTGTTATTGAATAAAATTGCAATTAAGTCAACATGTAGAATTTGCTTCTAGAACGTAGTGTGGGGAGGTGAGAGTTGGAAAGGGTTAGTGACTGTACCCCTGCCACAGAGGGTAGTGGGGAGGGAACAAGGAGGTTCAAGTGTAAATAAGAAACAGAATAAACAAAAAAGTAGAATACCTTTGATTATTAAAAATTAAAGTTCTTAAAGAGCTGTGTGTGCTGGTGCACGCCTGTAATCCCCGCACTTGGGAGGCTGAGGCAGGAGGATCACTGCAAGTTTGAGACTAGCCTGGGCTACACAATGAGTTCCAGGGCAGTTTGAACTACATAGGGAGACCCTGTCTCAAAAAAACAAAACAAAACAAAAATTAAAGTTCTTTCAATTTGCTATTTGA